CATATGACGTTGGAAGGTGGCAGATTGTAACAGGTGTGTGTGTGTGAGAGAGAGAGAGAGAGAGAGAACTTTTATTCTGTAGAAATAATGATGATTAAAAGTTAATTAGCACTGCAATAAATTTCTGAATACAGGTAATCTCAACCTATGACCACAATTGAGCCCAAACTGCTAAGCAAGTCAACTCTTAAGTGAGTTTTTCAGTAACACTGTAACTTTCAATGGTCACTAAATGAACTGTTGTAAGTTGTGGACTATCTGTATTCTAATACGGATAGCAATAGCAATAGCATTTATATACCACTTCACAGTGCTTTACAGCCTTAAGTGGTTTACAGAGTCAGCACATTTCCCCCAACAAGCTGGGTCCTCATTTTACCAACCTTGGAAGGATAGAAGGCTGAATCGACCTTGAGCCCCATCAGGATCCAGAACTCCAGGCTCTGGGCAGAGTTTGCCTGTAATACATTTTAACCACTGTTCATATTACATGTTAAAAATATTTAAAAAATGTTTAAATCTCTGCTGCTGTTTACTGTAAAAAAAACTATTTCTGATAGAATTCTCACTGACTGAAGTAATATCATATACCTCCTAGAGTTCCTCTTTGAATGTGTGTGTGTGTGTGTGTGTGTGTGTGTGTGTGTGTGAAACCCAAATGGTATGTTTATTTGCAAATGGTGAAGTTAGAAAACAAATGTAAGTGAGCTATATAGTATATTACAAAACTAGTATGATGCTGTTGCTTTTAGAACAATTCTGTTTCTTAATCATTGGAAGTGATGAAACCTCTCCATAAGGTCTGGCTGTTAAATGCTTTGGAAGACAAAGTAGTTAATTATAAGATGTAACTCCAAGAAGTAATCTGGAAATAATCTGTTCTATGTTAAAAAAAAAAGTTCCTACTTAAAATCTTTAATTATGATCAGCTTTTATTTTTGCTCTGGTCTTACTGGTTCTTGTTACATAACTCTAAACTTAACTTGACTTCATTTGAATATCTTTTTATGATTTACTTAGCTTCTCACCCTCTCATAAACTAGAAGATCTTGAATTATTTTGCCCTACATTCCTTTCCTATTAAAAAAAATTATAAGAGAATAATAAGCTGGATCAGGATAACCCAAAAAAGGGTATGCAAAGATAAAGATTCCAGAAAACAGTGCATGCAGAACTATGCCCATTTTTAAAAATAGTAGTGTGACACAGCGAACATAATTTGAAAATAAAGATGAGCGTTCTTGTGTATGATAAAAAGGTGTAGTTTGCCAAATTGTTAGGAAAGTTCTTTCTGGAGCCATGCTGTTCTTCTGAAATTATCTTGATAGGAAGATTGTTTTTAAATCTCCACCTACATTTTTTCTTAGCCAAATCCACTGAAATTTGCAACCAATGACATATTCACTGAATGCCTTTTAGATCCCAGAAAGTTGGAAGCGGTAGTTCTCTACTTTATCCTTTGAAACTAATTTTCCTGGAATCCTACATAACAACCAACTTAAAAAAAATTATAAAGCTGTAAAGTCGCATAAGGGAAGTGTCTGAAAATCTACATAAGACAGGGAAACAATTGGAAGACTGGTTGTGTACAGGTTTACTCAGTAAATGTGGAACCAACACAATTTTCATTTATTGCTTCCTTTGGGACAGCTCCTCTAATTAGGATTGAGGCTTTTTCACTCAAGCATACAAAATGTTTACGATATCATTGATTAGTCTTTATGATCATCTCCAAAAACCATATTTACTATAAATGTTATACATCCACACTTTCATTGGGGATAATTGTCCCCCTCAAATTTTATCTAGTTATCCCCAACTCATAGCCATGTTATATTAAACATGATAATGTAGGTTTATTGTGATTTTCTGGTACTGCATTTCCCAAGGAATAGTAACGGCTAGAAGACAGAACGTTTGGATCTTTGATTTTATGCAACATAGGGAGTTTTATGTTGTCTGTGTAGTCTATGTTGTTTATGTAGTCTAGTTCCATAATGGACTAACATTTGGCAATTATCAGAAAAGGCAGTGATTTTTTTCCCTTCTGCCTACAGAAGTAGGCAGACATATTTACAACTCATGTTCATTCAGCAGTTGGAAAATTAGTATTATGCTATATTTTAAAGTGCTTTTTTCTAAAGAATGTAATTTATTTTAGTTGCACTTCCATAGGGATTTATTTTTCCCAAAACAGGGCACTGTAACACTTTATCGCCCTCATTTTAAAGACACCGAAGAGGATTGAAAGTAGGGGGTGGAAGAGTATCTGTCCATATTTCGGAAATTATGTATTTACAAATTGCTTCCAGCAATTTCAAGCCTTCTTCCATGAGAGTTCAATCTTTTGTTATAGTTTTTCCCTCGCCACCAATTCAGATGGAAGCCAATATGTTCATTGTATCCTTCTGTTGAAGTCACTAGCATAGAATGTTTGAAAAAAAAAGTACTAGTAGTACTAGGAGGAGGAGGAACAGCAGCAAACAGTAGTAGTAGTAGTAATAGTAGTAGTAGTAGTAGTAGGAGGAGGAGGAGGAGGAAGAGCAGCAGCAGCAGCAGCATTTATAAAGGTAAAGATTTCCCCTCTCCAATCATGTCTGACTCTAGGGCTTGGCTAGTCTAATAAAGAGAAGAACCAGGGGAGACATGATAAGAGGTCTTCCAATATTTGAGGGGCTGCCACATGGAGGAAGGGGTCAAGCTATTTTTTTAAAGCACCTGTAGACCAGACAAGGAATAATGGATGGAAACTGAACAAGATTTAACCTGGAAATAAGGAGAAAATTTCTGACAGTGAGAACAATCAACCAATGGAACAGTTTGCCCTCAGAAGTTGTGGGAGCACCATCACTTGAGACTTTCAAGAAGAGATTGGACTGCCATTTGTCAGAAATGGTGTAGGGTCTCCCACTTGGGCAGGGGGTTGCACTAGATGGCCTACAAGGTCCCTTCCAACTCTGATTATCTGTTATCTGTTAGGGCAGGGCTGTCAAAACTCCTGGCCCATGAGCTGGATGCATCACACACTGATCATGCCGACACCCAGTTTAGTACACAGGGGGGAAAGTCCCGATATGTCATGTTGTCTTGACACCGTGACAACATGAGTTTGACACCCCTGCTCTAGGGGGCACAGTGCTCATCTCCATTTCTTAGTGGAGGGAGCTAGCATTATCCGAAGACATTTTTGTGGTGACGTGGCCAGCATGATTATATTCTAAGGAGCATGGAAAGCTGTTCCCGTCAAAGTGGTACCTATTTATCTACTTGCATTTGCTTGCTTTTTAACTGCTAGGTGGAGCTGGGGCAAGTAACAGGAGCTCACCTGGGCTCAAGACCCGACTCACCCCACACGGGTCTTGAATTCAGGCTGTCAGCTTTCTAGCTGTCAAATAGTGTCGATAATCATTGAGCCATAGCACTCTTAGCAAGACTGTATAATCAATTAAAATATATAGATGTAGTTTATAATGCTGAATAATTACAGTACAAACAGGAACACAAATTCATAGACTAGGATAATGTATAGAGGATGATATGTAATGACAGCATGCAAGTACTATATATGATGCATGAGGCAACCTTTGCTTTTCTGTTTTACTATATGTATTTTTCAGTATACAGAACCGCATGCAAAAATTATTTTCTTGTGCTGGAGAAATGTAGCACTAATATTTAGTAACTCTTATGATTATAGAAACAGAAATTTAAACATGCAAGGGGTTGGTATATTACATTCTGGTTAAGGGTAAACCTTAGAAGAACACAACCTGTTCTCTAAAAACTGCAAATAAAAATGCTTAATTTTCACATCTTCATCACATCAGCATCAGCGTTCTAATAAACAGGCAGACTCAATAGAAAATAAATTTAGGTGGGTTTATTTTACCATATATTTTATCTATGTGTTCTATATATTAAGATATTGTACAACATAAAATTCTGAACACTGAGTACAATCATTGTGCAAGAGTATATTTAGAAATCAAACACAACACAAATATTCATAAAACCAGAAATATTTCAATATTACTGAATATAAAACTATGCATATTATGTTTGGTTTTGTTTGGGATATAGAATACATTTATTTCAAAGAAGCAAACAGCTTGGTTAAAATAAATACAGCAAATGTATTAACAGTACCCATACATGGAATCTAAAAATATAAGTATTTTGTTATAGTGCAGAAGAAAACTTAAGGCATTTGTTACCTAGCAATTGCTAAGTATGTAAAACAGTTTAGCATGGACAGATTTGGGCTACCCGATTTCCGCTGTAAAATCAACATCCCTAGACAACAGCTGAACAATATATAGAAAAATGTTCTATGCTGCCATCTGGTAATTTCCAGATATATGCAATCTAGATGCAATAACAAAACGATGGAGAACTTAAATAAATTGTTCTTCTGGGTCTTGCTAGAGATCCCTGTACTTAGGTCGAGGCAGAAATGCCACAGCTGCCATCCTCCTAATTTATACTATCAGGAACTTGAGTTCTTTCTGGCCTCTTATGCAAGTCACCATTTTCCATTATTTGGGTGAGATAACCCACCCATCCTGAACACACACCCATGCTAGTCAAATCAAGATATTAAGAAATCTATTTTATATTCCAAGCATCATTAATAGTTCAAGGGACTATAATTTAATGGCACCACACTGCCCTAACACTGTTTGATGGATTCTTCCCTTAGCAAAGCATTATGATCCAATGATGGCTTTGAAAGCTGCTACACTGCCAGTCTTGAATATCTAGCCTACAGAGATTTACCTGCCCACATTCCCTAATATGGCCTCTAAGTATGCTAACTGGGAGTTGTAGTCCAACATGTTTGGAAATAACTCTTCTCAGTAAATCAGTGTTCTGGATGGAATTTCACTATTTACTGTAATGCACGAATGGAATTTCCATGTCAATGCACAGTGACTTGATTCTTGAGAAGGGGATGGGGTATTAGGGAGGAGAATTATCTTGATTATGATTTAAAGATTATCTTGATCTTGGTTTTGCCAGTATGTAGTGGGATTGGAGCAAGCTATCTACTACGTCTAATGCTAACAGCAGATATATGAAACCGGTAACCTTTTCATACTAATGCAATTGTTTTACATACACATCCACATATTTTTATCAATATCAGATATTTTTACAGTTATGCTTTTGGTTTACATTGGAATTAATGTCATCATCATTCCCAACATTTATTTTTAGAAACAATTCCCCAAAGTATTTTGTGTAGACAGTGATATATGCATGTGTGCACACACAATTAGTGATACATACTTGGAGTGAATTCAGTAAACCTCTTTTTCAAATATGCATGCCAGAAAGCTACATGAAGATAATGCTGTTTTAAATGCTACTGCTTCTTCTCTTCAATGGGGAAAAATACAGAATTCCGAAGTATTTTTGCATATAAAAGCATGAAAGTTGTGGTGGGAACAAGGGACTTGGATATTATTTTATTCAATGTTTTAACAAATATTATGTTAGTTTTATTCCTAGCAAAAAAAAGTAAAGAATCTTACAGACATTATTAGCATTTTTCATTTTCTTTGAATTTTCCTGAGAAGTCAAACATGTGCTAAGGGAGAAGGCAAAATTTCAAGTTTCTCCCTCATGGTTTCTATGACTAGATGTTGTACTAAAGTTTTAACTCTACTCCAAATATTACTGGACATAGAATTTAAAATCACATTAACATAAGCTGATGCAACAAAAAGCATGTGTTTCATACGTGTCCAATTAGTGACCATCAGACCTCATTATTCCCACTAAACTTGTATTAAAAAACCCTGATTAAAAAAAATCAGTTATCTAGCTAGAATAGAACAGTAAGAGTAGAGAAATGGATAAAACCTTTAAGAGACATCTGGGCAAGTATTTTATGTTTTACTTAGATTATTGCAAGAGGGACAGACCTGGGCTGGCTGTAATCATGAAATCGCATAGCTTTATAGTCATGTATGTGACTGAAATAAATGATGAATTGGTACAATTGGGCAATGTGTTAGATCCAGATTTTTGAGAACTGCAGTGTAATGACAGGGGGACGCTTTCTTAGGGAAGTCGTGTTTATGATCTTCAACATGTTAAAACAATTAGACCTTTAGCTACATAATTTCTTGAAGTTATAAATTAATATTCTTCCCTTTTATGATAGCATGCTATTTATTGCTTTATTGATCTATTCTATTTCAGGTCATTCTAAAGTCTAACAAAAACTTCACCAATTCAAAACATTTTTCTTAGTTTCAGACAATTATTATTGTCTTTTAAATTAATAAAGGATTTTCAAAGCAGATACCTTCACTTTAATAGATAATTCATACCAAATCTGCCCAGCAGTGGCCATGAGTCTTAACCACAATCATAATTTAACCTTATCATTAGGTTTTTGATTATATAAACAAACATACACAATGGCCTCCATTCAGCATTATGAATCACAGCATATGGAGAAATCATCCTATGTAAACAATTTGAAGGATCTTCCAAATGACAGTCATTTATTTTAAGTGTCCCTCATATTTCAAATATCCTGGGATTATTTTCCCACACATAACTACTTCTGTAATGTCTATAGTCATCCAAGCATCAGAGTGCCAAAGTAAATAGTAATGAGGTCAGCTTTATATTATTTCAGCAGTGGCTGGATGTTGCTAGGAAGAAACTACATTGCACAGCTTGGGAAGTGGCCTTGGTTCATCCTATTGTATATGTTGTAGAAAATACTGTTCTTCAAAGCAAATGTCTTTTAAACCCCAATCTCTTAGGTTTTGGGGAGCCATCTATGCCAATGCAATTAATATACATATCTATCCAGCCCAAAGTTAAGTACTCTACTAGTTTTTATGTGTTTAGCAATGTAATACTGACATGAAAACTAATTTATAACTGGAGCTTAGTAGCCACAGATTTGGAGAATGATTAACACTACAGCTACAAGCTTGAACCTTAAGGCAGTAGAACAAGCTGACTTGGGAGTCATTAAATGCTCCTTTCCAAGCCACAGGTGTCCAAACTCAATTGCATCACATGACGTATTGCAATGTATTGTGACTTTTTTGCTTTTGCGGAACCAGGGTGGGCGTGGTCTGCATGTGATGCATCTGGCTCGCGGGCTGTCAGTTTGCCACCCCTGGTTTAAACCATCTGTCAGGGAGATAGTAGAGACCAGGTGGATCCTCAACATCCCTCCTAACCTGATTACTGATTCTAACTCCTCGACATTGTGCAAATTCTCTCAGTTCTTGAAATCAAAATTAGGGATTGGGGTTATAATACAGTACAAGATTAGATAACAAACAATTTGACCAGATTTCTTCTCCTTTGTTTCCCCAGTGTGGGACAATATGCCACAAAAAAAAAAAAAAACCAGTTGAAAAAGCCACATTTTCACATTCAAAAACTGCCTTAAAGCTAATGTCAAATAAATACACATTTTTGACAAGCAAAACTATACATTATTTAAAAAAAATTTTTTACATTTCTGGGAAAGGAGTAGAAAGAAAACCAACAATAAATGTACTAATGAATAATACATTCAATAATTATGCTTTCATCATATTCATATCCATAAATTATTACAGCATTCAACATTTAAAATTTTGCTTGTAGGAATTAAACTATTATCTTTCTAAGAAAACCAGCAACTTAGACTTGTTAGACAAAAGTTAAAGCTATATAAAAATGTTTCCCCTTTATTCAATAATTGCATAGTATATAAATGAACTGCAATTACTCTAAATTGTAACAATTTACTTATCTTTAAAACTGTCTCATATTTTAAAATTTAAAAATATAAGTATCCTTTACTTGTAAATTATGTAACAAAGGTGTTAATATAACCTTGACACATAAGCAAATTTAAAGCAATAGACAATAAAAAAATTGGGAGAAAGCATATCTATGCTTAAATGTTCACAACTTGTTTTTGTTCCTCCTACGAGGCAAATCTTTTAACTGGTAGCTGTGTGGGCATGCATGCGTTTTGCTACATCATAAACATAGGTTATATCTGGTCGTTTCTCTGGATCTGGGTTGATGCAGATGTTAACTAATTGTCGGAGCTAGAAAAAAAGAAAAAGAAAAAACAGCATATAAACAACAAAGAATTAAAAAGAAAAGGAAAATACTCCTACAGGCAAAATTATCAGAATCCTTTTCTACTACAAGTTCAATGCAAGTTATAATTGCTGGAAAAGCAAAAAAGCAAGGCAGTAACTTTTAAAGATATGCTTTCTTATAAAAACAGTCTTGTTTGAATCACTGCATTTTCTTTTATATAATTCTTTATATAGTCACAGCAGTATCAACACCAGTTTTGCATGACTCCAGGCTTTGTACAAGGGCCACATTGGATAGCAGGATGCTTAATTATGTTTCTATGATGGATTTTTCACTAATCTTATAATTGCTCAAACTATAATGGAAGCATGAGTTCTCTTTTCAGTGACACTGCAGAGAGCTGAGGAATGCCTATGTGGAATGGAAATATTTTCATGGTTTCTGAGACTTGCTAAGCAAAAAGGAAAGACACCTATGATTTAGATGAACATCATAAAATGAGTACTTTAGGCTACCAATCTATTTACCTAAAACCACTGAAGTCAACACAAACACTGTTAGCTCTTTGGTCTAATATGTGATAATAGTATCTAATCTTGAGATTTATTTTAGATATGCGCAATTAGTACAAAATATTTCCACAAAATAGACCCTTCTCCCACCTTTTCTGTTTTTAGTATAATAAAATAGCAAGGGAAATATGCAACTCGTGATTAGAAAACATATTCAGTAAATTAAAAAAAAAACTTTAAAAGAGAGCACTGTTAAAACAAATTATATAGAATTAGGAGCATTCGTTCTAATAGTTCATCTGCTAGGAGTTCCAGACTACCACAATCCTAGACCATAGGAGGGTTACAATATAATGACGAAAATAAAATGTTTATATTTCAATCTAATAATAAAACAATCTCCTTCAGCAACATCAATAAATCACCAAATAACCCAGGAGCATTTAATAATATTCTTGAATATGATTAAATATTATATTCTGTAACTGTCTGGTTTGGTTCTGCAACCCAACAAGACAGACACAGACTTCAGAGGATAATTAGGACTGCAGAAAAAATAATTACTACCCACCTGCCTTCAACTGAGGACCTGTATACTGCAGGAGTCAAAAAGAGGGCTGTGAAAATATTTACAGACCCCTCACATCCCGGACATAAAACTGTTTCAACTCCTACCCTCAAAATGACATCATAGAGAACTGCACACCAGAACAACTATACACAAGGACAGTTTTTCCCCGAACGCCATCACTCTGCTAAACAAATAATTCCTTCAACACTGTCCAACTATTTACAAAGTCAGCGCTACTATTACTATTAATCTTTTCATCACTCCTTATCACCCATTTTCTCCCACTTGTGACTGTATGGGTATAACTTTGTCGCTTGTATCCTTACGATTTATATCGAATGTTTCTTAGTATGACTTGATTGATTATTGTACCGTATGACTATTATTAAGTGTTGTAACTTATGATTCTTGACTCTTGACAAATGTGTCTTTTCTTTTATGTATACTGAGAGAATCTGCACCAAGACAAATTCCTTGTGTGTCCAATCACACTTGGCCAATAAAGAATTCAGTTCAGTTCAGTATCTTCCAGAGAGTAAACACAAAGACAGCAACATACCAGCCCAGCCAGTCCACACTTGGAACAGACCGGATTTACCTAAGACACAAGACTTGTACAATAACCGCCATCATCATTTCATATGCTGCTCAATTCCTTTGACTTGTACCTGGAAACAAACGGCATCCAATGTATTTCCAGCATCAAGATATTATCCAGACTTAAAGGCTCTTGCCCATTAACTCACAGACAGCTGCATTGTGCAGCTGCAGCTTTTGAGTGGCTTCCAAGTACAATCCTATGTAGATTGAATTACAGTAGTCCCAAGCATGAAAAATGACAAGGGCGTGAACAACTGTTGCCAGTGCATCAAGAACAAACATGCATAGCGCAACACCATTCCTATTAAATGGGTCCATAAGAGTTCTTAGCAGTAACTCTTCAACTACTGCAAAGATAGGATATGATTCTGAAAGTCTAACATGCCTAACACAAATATCTGCTTTTCAGTTACTTCTCGAATCAAGCAAGCAAAGGGAGGAAGCTCATAGAAAGGAAACAGAAATGTTTCCTTACTATGAACTTCCCTTCCTCTCCCCTGAAAATGTATGTTGTGGGCCATTTCCCAAAAGGATCCCCCATATCACGGGTATCAAGTGCTCATTGTCACGTGACATATCGTGACATTTTCCCCTTCTCTAAACCAGGCATGGCAGCGCATGATACATGCGGCCTGTGGGCCACAAGTTTGACAGCCTTGCCCTATATCAAGACCACTCACGTTTGTCCCCCCACTCACATACACGTACCTCTACAACTTGATCTGTCCCCAACTTGTTGGATATTTAATTAATTCTAGTTCTAACCTTTGCCCTATAAACATGGATAGAAACCAAAAATGGTGGGCAGTTAGAATTCATGCTTTGACTCTGCATGCCCAGAAAAAGGACAGAGATAATCTAGGTTGCAAACACATGCTATAGGAAGATCAGAATAAGGAGCCTTTATGGTAATAGCCTAAGAAGCATAAAGGAAAAAATGCAAAGATTTGGGGAAGCAAACTTACTATCATCTTTTCATTTCTATATCATTATTAAAAATAAAAAAGGCTCCAAAGACAACGCTGTCAGATTTTTCTGCTAGTCAAATTCTCATTAATGAGCTGACCTTGAGATCTATCACATATCCCTATTCTAGTTTTTGAATGGTATCTGTTCATTTGCAGTCAAAGCCAGCCTTAGAGCCAGTGATCTTACTAAAATTATGGAGTGACAAATTGTATATAGAAAATTACTGCCCAGAACACACATTTGTAAAACATTGGTTTGTCAATTTCCCTCCTTCCTCCTCCAATCAAATATTTTTAACAACAAAAAATGAAAAACAACATGCAATCTTTGAAACCAGTACAGTAATTAGATAATTTCAGACTATGGAAATAAGACATCTCTTTTCATCAATTAGAAGCACTCTAACTGTTCAGACACTAAAAGAAAAATAGAAATTAAATGAAGTTGTCAGCCAAAGGGTCTAAGGAAGCGATGGAACTATTCACAGAAAGGGCTTCAGATAAGGAAAGAAGTAACATTATCACATAATATTGTGTTGACATGTGAAATGAGGAATGTTACATGAGAATAAGAAACACAAATGGACACCTAAAGTTTTATCCAACTAGATCCTCACTTAGGAAGTTTAAATTGGTTTAAATTCTGGGAACTAACATATACAGTGGTTCATATGCTGAAAACTATCAAATGGAATAAATCGGCACTGTAACTAACTACCAAAAAAAGAAGTACATTAAAACAGATTTTAATTTAAAAAGTTATGTTATCTAAAAACTTTGTGTCAATAATAGGCAAAGGTTGATACAAAAACACATCTTTGTATATGTTTTTTTTTGTTCTGTGATCCCTTAATTCTTCTGTTCAACTGGAGCAAACCTTTCAATCTACATAAAAGTTTAGCCTACATGTTGGATGCTGCAGTAGATACAGTAGTTTTTGTCTTCTTGTGTAATATAGAGCCTGTACAAAACATAGAACATTAAAATGTACAGTTAGCAGGGATCATAACTATACTCTTTTTAAAAAAAACAGTTTTGTTCTAAGTATAATTTTGGAACAATGAACTAGTCACAGTAATAGTACATCTTCTATTACTGAGTCTTTCACTTTGTCAGGAAATTGTTTCCCTACCTGTAATAGATCAGGGCTTTCCTTCTTCCAAATGTTAGTGTATAGAAAAAGGATTTTAAAATGAAGGCTGTGAAAATAAAGTCCTCGTTTCTGAATGAAGGGAAATTACAGTATGATATTTTTAAAATCCCCCCTCCTATCTACATAATAATAATTATTGTTATTATTATTATTTCCCTTTCTGAATACCAAGGCTTCCATCAGGCCTGAACTTTGATATCTGCCCCTTGGCTGAGAATCTATATATCCAACTTCACACTTAGCTGCAGTGAAGTAGCCCTCTAGGCAGGCCGACTTCAACGAACCACTAGTGGTATCATCATTAAAATCCTGCTGAAGGTCACCATGGCAACCGCCTGCTGAGGCTTCACTGCTGCACGCGGCATCTCCTAATCAGCTACCATGTGAAATGCAAATTCAGACAGTCTGAAAATTAGTCAAGAAGAATAGAGGATGAGGATGCAGATACGTGAAATATTCATGCGCTTCGTGGAAAAAGGAAGACAGCATGAATGACACAACAAAGAACGGCCCCTGACATTCTTGCTATCATTTTGCATTATTGTTCACACCCTACTGTATTTCTAGGCCTCCGGTTCTGAAATTGCCTATATGAAATGCCATATTTATATTCTGCACAATTCTCTTAATTAAAAATGGCCACTGGAAAAAAAAACAGTTAATTGGAAAAGCTACATTAAGTCAATATTGCACACACCAGCAAAGACCATCACATTCACTTCATCATCTACCTAGTCATCTTTAAAAGGATACAGAGAATTTCATAGTCAAATTCTCCATGTAGTAAAAGTGCAAATATTATACAATGATTTTAATGAGACCCATACTTCATGGACCACAGTTTTTAATTAATAATTAAAATCTTTAAAAGCAATGAGATTTGGGGGTTTGGAATTATATTATTCCCCAATTCCATAAAGACAGTGAATTTTTCTGTTTACAAAATATGAGAATTTTATATGCATTTCCTACACAGTGTAATTTACTGTTTCTGCTACTTTTCTGTGTCCTAAATTTCAAAACAATATGTCCATACATGGTAAAGGAAACACACACACACACACACAGAGTCATCTATGTATTAGTTACAATAGACATTAACACATCCATCCCTTAGCAGAAATATTAAGTCTTTCTTTGCTGTGTGTAAAGTATTAAAGTTTTTATCCTATGCCTTTCAGGCCATAACTGTTCCTTGCCAGGTTACTGCAAAATTGCTAGAGAAGGAATGTACAGTATACATTGGCGCCCATTTTATTGCAGCATGTTGTGGTAGTTCTATGTACATCTCTGAATGCATACTCAGAAAACAGAATAGTAAACATTAATAGTATACATAAGTCCATGAAGAGGTATATCATGTTGGAAATATGCCTTGCATTTGGAATACACTTTGTTATATAAAAATGTTTCCAAGGGATTTTTTTTTGTATGTCTGCTTTTTGTGGGTTAGGGCATCACACATGCTGCAAAATTGTTATTACGGCTACACAAGGCATTTCAAAAGGTTGGTTTGCAGAACCTCAAAACAGCCAATGTGTTTCAAAACAGTCAGTATCTTCAATTGTCTTCCCATGCCTCTGCGTGCACAGCCATACTGCTTTGTTCATTTTCCCACTGAGACAACCAAGGTAAGTCTTTGAAACAGCCATGCTGAGCTTTTCAGATGACACAGTTGCTTTAATGCTTCAAGACATTTTTGCTTGCAACAATGCACTTAACGGTGTTCATAAAGCACCCCTCTCAAATACTATGCACAGTTCTAGTCATTACTCCTGAAGAGAGCGTAACTACTTTTTCATCACATCCATGTAGGCACTTAGATCACAGTAAACTGAGGGAAGAGTTTCATTCTTTCACAATGTTTTCAAAAGGATAAATAAGAACACCACAGGATATATCATTCAGAAGATATTCTATATCGCTGAAAATCAGAAATTCATGTTGTTCACTGTGGTGTAACCAATCTAAGCAAAGAGGATTTCAGGGTTAACTGCGCTCAGTTTAAGCAATTTTCCCCTTACAGCTTGAATTTTAATGCCTTGCAAAGAGTTGCAACTATAAAGAAAGCACAAGATATAAAAAGTACTATGTAGAATGTTACAGCGGGTCTTTTAAAGTCGTGGCCCATTTAAGGTTCCCACTTGCAGCCATATTTAAGCAGCAGGCAATTTAAAAAAAAATGAAAGTTCAGCTTCCAGGAAGAAACCAAGTCCTCTCACACTGAAATTAATGAGAGTTGTGCAAGAACAACTCAGCTGTGGAAAACTGCATACCAGATCCCAGGAGAAATAGGATGCGTTTAAAAAGTGAAGCAAGTTCAAACAGCCCACCAAAAAGGAAGTTACTTACTTCTTCTGAGTAGTGGTCTGACGGAAGGGGTGGATAATCACATTGTTCTATCTTTTTACATAAAGAATACAAGTTCATTTTGTCACCATAGAAGGGGCTTTGCAATGCAGCCATCTGTATGGAGTAATAAAAATAGGATATACTTTTAACTGGTGTGGCAGAGAAGACTCAAATACAGAAAATTGATTTTTTTAAAAAAAAAATCCCAGTTTAAATTAGAGACAAATACTTATTTTCTCTCTATGCTATTGGTTTGAGTCCTTTACTTCTCACATCTGACTTTCAGAATATTGGATTAGATTGTTTCTATAGCATTACACTCAGCTAACATTCCTGTTGCATAAATTAAAATTATTATGTACCCAGAATATTATTCATAAATGTTGGTTAGTATATTTTTTCTATACTATAAAATCCAAATGCCATTTACAAACACCTATACCATGAAGTTTTAATCGAGAATCAGAGGAGCTTTGGTAAAATTCACCTAGTTCATAAAAGCTCTGATTTTGTTTTTCTCTGATAAATTTTATGCTCCCTCTGACACCCCTTGTAGCAAGAAACCATGATATTCTACATTACACATTTTCAATCAGCAGGTAGAATTATATTCAAAACCAAAAGGTGTTTTCTGCATTGTGGAGGTATTTGTTCTGAATTTCATTTAAATATCCTTCTTTAAAAGTTATGGGAACTACGAATAAATACAATCCAAGATATAACCAACAATAAGCAGTAAAATGAACGAAAAGTTTTATTATTTAAAATGAGAGTGAGGATAAATATAAACATTTCTATATGCTCAACTTGCTTCTGTTTGGTTGTTTTTTGCCTATAGTCTTGGTCATCTTTCAACTGTTAAGGCTGCAAAAGCCATCAGCTGATATGTACTCAAATATACTAAAAATGTCATACATTAATATAAGACTTAATTTTCTGCAACTATCAAGAAGAAGCTGAAAGCACCATGAATCTGATAAATAAATTATACATTAAGTACTCTATATGGACACCTTACTAAGTGTTTTGTGTTATTGGAAAAAGATAGCATCTAACTTTAAGGTAATTTCCTATTTAGAAAGCACTTTGCTATCCACAGGAATGCAATTCCCTGCAAAGAACTGTTTGCTTTACATCCCTCTGAAATTAAACATATGTACTGTAAGGTTTGTTTAAATTATATTTCTGGTATTTTTCTAACAAGGTATTTAATCTAATGGAGCAGCCCATTTTGCAAACATGATCCCAGTTTTACCCCCAAACTCCCTATATTTGGTATAATTATTTTTTTTTAAAAAAATTATTATATATCATGTGTCTCCCACTGCTTATTTTAAATGTTTGGCTTTTCAAAAGCAAACAAAAAATGCAACATACTGCTAAGCTTCAAGAGGTTTGTACAGAAATGTTCATATTGCCTCTGAAAGCCTTTAAATCTCTGAACCACAGCAGCGTGAGCATTGCTCTGAGTGCAGCGCTGCCCCAAAGTCAGTCACCCTTTTCTATATGTGCTAATAAGTTTGATTTTGGAAGGACAATGTGTACATTCCCTAGACAGGCAAAGCGTGTGTGAAACACGCTAGTCCATGCTGAGCTACTCAGTGAGCTTCAGCAGGGACAGGACAAGCTGAAAATGGCTCTCATCGTCTTGTGGTCTTTCAGACAAGAGTGTTAACTCCTTCACGACCAAAAAAAGGGGTCTCATTTTGATAGTGGTGCATACAGGAATGAAGAAAAAAAAGAACTAATTAAATTTATAGCAAGAAGATCAAAACTGCATACATTAATTGGATATCATAATTACTGAAAAGGTTGGAGGCTATCAAGGAAAACAATGATTTCCAATTGTATTCCTGCCATAATATTACATCTTGAAACTACCTAATTCATGCAGCGTATTTTCATTTCAGTGCAATTAAATGCAAAATTAGAAAATTTCATCACCCAATCAGCATGCATGCACAATTGCAAAATAAACACAGAGATATTCAGCATGGTACAAAACACATTCATTAAAAAGTAGTTCTGTTTCAATGCTTTTTTAAAAAAAGAGAGAAAAATAAGAAGGTTGGGGGCGGGGGGGGGGAGAGAAAAAGCTGAATGTCCCCTAAGGAGTTAAAACAGGACTACTATATTTTCATGCATCTCCTGCTTTGACAGATGAAAAATGTCAACTGTCCTGTTTTTATTTTCAAGCTTTTGCACTATTCATCTGGTTCATTAGTGCATCTTGCTGCTGCCCCTGACAGCTGCTCGCCCTCTCCTCCCAGCAGCTGAATTTTTCAGGCTAATTTGATCCTCCACACTGAGACGATCGCTAGAATGATTGACTTGCTCCCTGACCTCCAGGGTCTGACTTTCCTGATTAGTATTCTAGGGGTGTCTGAGGGACGAAAGCCCACTGTCTGTCTTCAGGGCTGGTGGCAATGATCTCCCCCACCACCTCTATCGCTCATTCTCTTTTTTTGGTGGTGGGGGAGAGGGGACTGTAAGCCACCAACCTACGACCCTGTAAGGATGCAATTACTGTGCTGAACAATAAAGGAAATGTGTAATATCTACTTTTTCATGTAAAGGTCCATGTAGTGGAAGCATGGCATGTTGATTTTAATTAGTAAAGTCTACCTTGTTGCATATCAATTAACACAGGGTGATTAGAGTATTTTGAATTGTTGTTTTTTAAGCATTTCCAGAATATTTGAAAGTCTAATTTTCTGACTGTAAAATTAACCTTCAACAACAACAAAAGGTAAATAGTTAAGGAAAGAGAGCAATTTTTAACAAACTGTAAAACCAGCCTTCTCCAATCTGGTGTCTTCCAGATGTGTTGTAACTTCCAACTTCTAGAATTCCCAAGAAGCAACTCTGGGCGTTGCATTCTGAACACATCTGGAAGGCAGCAGGTTGAGGAAATGACATCTCATAGAACAGCACTGAATAGAAAGCACACTTAATTTTAGATTCAGCTAAAGTCCAACCAAACTGTTAGCTATTAATATTAACATTCAAATAAAATATTAGCTGAAAAATTATTTATTGGGAAGCTATGTAATCTAGGAAAATCTCATGCACATGCAAAAATAAAATTCTTATTGCAGGTTCAAAAAATAATATAAACCAATGGAACTAATATAACTACTTAGAGTTCCTTAAATTCATTTTATGTTGCATATATTGAGCAAGTGAAGAATAAATTTAAATATTAAATTTGTACCATAATTAAGTTACAATATTCATGCTTCTCAATCCTCCTATTATTGGAGCTATATTGAATAAATCTTACTATTCTGTAAACTGCCTTACAATTATTTCATTTTTATTACAAAACTAAGGGTCCACAAATTCCTGTTTTTATAGAAACAGCAGCTGAATGGATCTTGAGTGAGTGAAAACTGAGGGAGTGAAATAAAATTATGACCACTTATAATATAACATAACATTTCTTTTTTATTTTGCTACACAATATGCCATTAATGTGCCCCAATCTTTAATTTGTTTGCTAAATTTTAAGGAAAGTAGAAAAATTTAATTCTTTAAAACACAATCTTACTATATAACGATAATTACATATCAAAAAGTTAGGTAACATGGCAACTGTGAGAAAGAAAAGAATAACGTAAATACAAATCCTCGTTACTATTTACACAAATAGCACAATTATACAAATAGCAGCATCACAGAAAAATACGTTTTTTTAAACAAATCCCAGTTTAAGATATAACTATTAATAAATCTCCAAAAGAATTCTCTCATTAAATGTGCTTTCTGTATACATGAGTCTGAGAGAAAATAATTTTAGCATTGAATTGTTTTGTTTTGTTTTGTTTAAAGAAAACCTTGCTATAGTTCTCAGAAAATCCTAATATTGTAGGATTTTTTTCCTTGATAGAGAGCTTTGCTGAGTTCTGCTGAGTTCACTGCAATGAAAGTGGTTTGCCACTTCACCTTGCATCTGTATTACAGAAACTTTTCTAGAGAGCATTTGAGTGAAAGACTGCAAGCCAACGAGTAAAATTTTTAGAGCTTGTTGTAAACATCCAGAAGGTTTTTGGTAGAATTTGGTTATCTTGCTGATCTTGCTATAATTAACATTTTACAAGCTAGAATTGCAAATAGTATAAACAAACCAAATGAAGGAATATCTTTTCCTGATATTATTTTTCTATAGATCCTTTACCTCTGTATTAAAGTATTAATTATCTTGTGTTTGATTAGTTAAAAATACATAGCCCCTGATATACCATATAAAAAGGACAGTATACTAGTTTCCTAGGCGATAATCCCATTTAGCAAAGTTTGAAGATAAAGTTTAAGACTCAGAAAACAAAAGTTTAATAATTAATGAAATAATAGATGATACTACAAGTGTTGACCCGAATATGCCCTTGATAGGTCTATTTCATGTGAAGATAATGTTTTCAATTTCAAATTGCCACCTTGGCAATTAACCTTGATACTGAAAGATGAAGACCTTGAAAGAGATTATTTTGAGAAGTATATGCTCCAAATTTTGCAAATATTTATATTACATTCTCTTTATATTTTGAGCTAAGGTAAATGTGCAAATTTCACCATAAATATCTGTAAAATGTAGAATTCTTTACTTTCACCTAGTACTAATTTATGGAATGAATATTCAATAGAATCATAACACAAATAGAAAAACATTTTGATCAACAAAACATATCAACAAATTATGCTCATTAAAAGTTGTCAGTATTACCTCATATAACAGACATCCTAGAGACCAGATATCTGATTTGAAGTTATACCCATTTTCATGGATTCTTTCTGGAGACATATAATAAGGTGTTCCCACTACAAAAAATATAAATACATAATAAACAAAAAAATTAAATAAACTTCAAGTAATGTATATTCCAACATTTGTCATGAAAAATTACTATTCAATACTTAAATACAAAAGAGTAAACTTTAGTAAGTGAAAAATTATTCCAAATAATTTAAGTTGTTTTATGAAATTAATTTCATGATAACCTATTTAAAAAGTAGCAAAGTTTCCAATAATTATCAATAAACCAAATTTTTAGCAATTTAATATTATATCAACATTACTAATGTTGTCAATCATAAACTGATAGAATTCTATATGAGTATGTTTATGCAGCGCTTATTAAATAAAAACATATGTTGGTTTTATAACTAAAAGGGTTTTCCTTTTTTTTTTCCTGAATGAAACTCGCTAAACATGATTTTGGTATGTTTGCATCCTATCTTAAAAGCATAGCCAAAATCCAATTCCATCTTTACATTATTTGAAATAAGCAAAAAATGTTGTTTTAAAGATAATCAATACATCTTTTAAAAGGAAATAGTATCCTCATGTTACTGAGGCAAAATGTTTTTTTTTTTAAATAAAGACATTTTCCTAAAAGTATGGATTCATTTGTATGGGGATCTGTATGTCTATAATTACTTTTAAATCATTCTAATATATGCCAACTCATAAAACAATAACCAACTTTAGTTAATAGAAACAGAAATGGAAAAACATACAAAAGACAGAAAAATTTAGTAAGGCATATATCATCCTATTCTAAGAGATATTTCATATGGGATAGCAAACTGAATAAGGTCTCTTCTAAAGCACATACACCTTGGAATATTGATTCATTATTCCAGTTTCAGAAATAATTTTGTACATATCTGTATAACTATGTATCTAAATTTTATTTCTACGTAAGTTGAAATGTATTCAAAATTATTTACATTTCCAAATTGATAATGGATGAATTTGTTTTTAAATAAGTATGGAAACATTTCAAATCAAAATATTGCCACAGAACAAAACCTGTAATGTACAGTATCCTGAAATATGTTGAAGTTGTAAAAAATGATAATTTAGAATAAACCTTTTCTCTTGCTTTTCATGTCACAGCCTTATAGCAAATCCTCATAGCAAGTAATACAAACTGCAGTTTTAGGACCTTTTTGAAAAGCGACAACCTCCCACAAAGTAAAAACACAAATTAAGGAAAAAAAACCTACCTCACCAAAACCAAACAAATGAAGTTAACATTTTTGCCTCTGCTTCTAAAATACATTTTTAATTACGCATGACCTCATCATACACAGGTGAGGCATCAATAAGCCAAACACACCAGTATAGTAGAACCTTTAATTTAAATGCATTTTAAAAACAAGAGACAAAAATATACTCTGAATGTAAGTTGTAAACACACCAAATCAGTAAGTCTATTATTTGCATTAAGAATGTATTATCTAAACTTTCAATATCAGCAGCACTTCTGTGAAGCATGATACTGTAGATCGAACTCACATCGTCACGGTGGCATCACGTGACGTATTGGGACTTTCCTCCCTTCATTAAACCAGGCGTGAGTATGGCCAGCATATGATGCATCTGGCCTGCGGACCAGGAGTTTGGCAGCCCTGCTGTAGATATAAACTTCTGCATTTACCTAATGGTTCTTTATGTGGATTTCATTATAGCATAAGTACTCCACTTTTTCTTTCCAGGTAAATAAGAAGTTGCAACTAAAGTTAATTTCCTTAAGTCTGGACAGGAAATTTCTATCCAGAAAAAAAATTAAGTTAATATTATCTGTGTAGTAAGACTAGTCTCAGAGCAGTCTCAGATCCAATACACTCTGCATGATCAAATGAATCAATGACTGCTGGCCTTGTGCTTTTGGAAGAAGGGACCACAGGTGGATGGATAAGAACAGCTCCTGAATGTTTTAGTGAGTGAAAACCTAACTCAAGTGATTCCTAGACTGAGACTCCTAGCGTCCCAGTGGATATCACTCAAATGTTGTGAAGTAGAAATTATGCTTGAATCATTTAGGAAAGGGAAGGATTGTCTATCCATGATTTATTGAAGTTTGCTAGTATTTGCAGGACGGCATTCATCCAACTCTAGGCAGAGGGAGGTGGCTGCCAAAGATTTGGAGGACAAGGTAAGAGAGTAGCCTTCAACCTGTTTTCAATACCTGTTTTTTCAGGTAGTGCAGGCAGAACAGATTCATCTGAGGAAGATGAACTAGCCATCAAGTCAACATCAAGCTGTGGGCAGAGTGACAACATATCAGGTGCTCAGAAAGGATAACCCTCTCTTCGCAGGAGCACTGATAGGTGGGCAAGATACACCGTTTGTGTAAATCAGGGTCTATCTGCATGACTTCTTCTGGTTCACCAACATAGTGCAAAAACTGAGCTACAACTAAGCAGACACTTTTCTCCCTAGCAAGGTCTGATATGTGGAGATACTCAAACAAGGGTCAATAAGCTTATGCTCATCAATACTAAAATCAGGGCTCTGACTTAAAACTGATTCACTAAAAGACAAGAAGCTGCCACATTCAGCAGATCAAAAAGGTATAGGCCCCCTGGCTATTTCAAATCCTTTCATATTTTTGATGCTGTGTCAAAAACTCTCCAGCAAAGAAGCTCAGAAATTTAAATAAACTGCTGGAATTTAGGACTTAGCATTTTGAAAAGGCCACCTATCCAATACATCTCTACTGATGAATTGTCCAATTATGTTGTTGTGTTCTGATTAAACTCCAATCGTGCATATTGCTTCACAAGAAGAAAAAATAATTCTGATTTCTCTTTTTCAAGAGAATTGCTGAGAAAAAACTTATCAAAGGTCAGGCTAACAATGAGGTTTACAGGGTTGTACTTTATCAAAAGCAAAAGTACATTTTAACCAATCATTCTCCAAAACCTATTATTACATCAAAGGAGTGAGAAGATATTGGTAATACACAAAGAAGAGAACAAATGCTTACATTTTGCAGAATTTAACTCAAAATGCCCCATTGGCGCTTAAACACTTTTCATGCGCAGATTGGAAGCTTTGTTTGCATGCTGATGGGGCATTTTGAGGTGGTAAAATGGAACCACCTCAAAGCACCCTATCAGCGCTGAAATACTTTTCGCTTGGAGACTGGAAGCTTCTTGTGGCGACTTCAGGTACCCACTCACTTTTGCAGAGCATGGGTGACTGAAGTTCTGTGAGATTAGAAGCTTCCAGAAGCTTCCAGTTTACATGCAAAAAATGTTTGCTCACCAACAGGACGCTTGAAGCAATGTGATTTCACTGCCCCAAAGCCTTCCATTGGCATGCAAATACTTTTCTGCATTGAGACTGGAAGCCTTTGGAGGAAACTCATAGAAGCTGCCTACCGTTTCAGGTAACCTGGAGCGGTAGGTAACCTTGGTGAGTCAACCTTGGTGAGTCAGAACAAGGCGTGCTCGTCCTGCTTTCCCTCTGCTCTCAATAGTCCACTTTTGGAGCACCAGGAGCAGGCAAAAAAACCACAGCAGAGAGACTGGAGAGGTAGACAGCTTGCTAGATCTTTGCAAGTTAAACAAGTCTCCACAGGCCTGCCTGTGGAGACCTGGCAGAGGCAGGAGGGAGAATAGGTAGAGCGAATGTTGCAGTGCCTCTGTGGTTGTTTGTAAGGATAAACGACTGCCGTGGTGCTGCAACATTCGTAACCTCAGGACTATGCCATAAGTACTTGGGGCAGGGGGTTATGTTGCAACTTTGAATGGTCACTAAGTGAACTGTCATAACTTGGGGATTACCTATATATAGGAAATCTTGACAAAAGGGGATCTCCTCTTGCTTTTAATCTCACTGCATCAATAAAAACATTTTTTGTGGAAGTAATAAGTCTCTACCATAGGCTGCATTAATCAAGCATTCAAACCAAAAATAAAGATTGACACATTCAAAAAATGACATTGTTTGGAAACTAATCTATTAAAATCCCATTCAACAAGTGCTATCAAAATCAGTCATAAGAAAAGCAGCTTAATTTTGAATGAGCATTTTTCAATCCACAGAAATTACATATATTTATCAATTAAACATATTTTAATCTATATCAACGGACAGCTGAAATTCTTTTAATTAAAAATACATCAAATAAAAGGTTTGCCACATATACAGTACTCTAGATATATAACGTCAACTTCCACTTCTAATTATACATACAAAGAAATCTTTCTCACCTAGAGAATGTGCAGCTGTGGTTTTAGAGCTGAAAAATCTTCCCAATCCAAGATCTCCAAGTTTTACTACTCCTGTAGCAGTAATGAATACATTTGCTGGCTTGATGTCTATAAGAAAAAACAGAATACTGTGTAATACCATATCTTTAATAGAAAAGAAGTCCATTATTAAATATTATATTAAGTATTATGGTTTGATCAATGTTTGTTTCCTTCTTAAGAATACAACAAAAATATTTTAAATTATTTGTTTCATCTAGTGATTAAGACACCAAGCTAAAGACCAGGAGTGTGAATTCTAGTCCTGCCCTAGGCATAAAAAGTCTAAGTTCACTGCCTTATGTTATGGCAAAGGGTGAAATATGCATATTTAATACATATTTATTACAAGAGACTCTTATTTCTTCTTGGCTGGACTTCTAGTTATCTAAGAAACAGAAAGAACTGAAACTGAAATTAAGAAAAGGTAAAAAAAATTGTAACAAAATTTACAAAATACACTACAGTCCATTTGAAGCCCTATTCTACGATGGAGAGGAAATCTTACTTATTCAATCACTGTAACTATAATCACACTTTCCAGATATGTTAATGAGATATTATGACTTAACTCTCATCAAATTTCTGTCCTCGATGACAGTTACCTTAACTACCAATGGATAAAACTGCTCACAACCATGCTGATTTAGATGAAATTTCTATATAAGAGCAATCCATAAGAAATAATAATTAATTTTCTGCCACCATCCAGTGATGCCACCAATTACAAGGAAAAGACAATCTTTGCTGCATCTATGGCCAAGGATGGAGCAATTACAGCAAGTATGCTTTTCATCTTTCTGCAAAAAAGTTGGATCTAAATGCTGACTGTTGGTTTAAGAGGTATAATCTGGCCTCCATCCACTAGCCGCAGATATCATCAAAAGGGCTTTTGGATTTTGTATGTGTACATTCATTTGCACAGATTGAAATGTTTCAGTTTTTGGAAGTGTTACCTGTTTTGCATAGGCCACCCTATGTAATCAAAAGGCAAATCTTCAAGATACATAAAAATAAGAATCTACCATACATGAAACAGCATGCATATGAATGTAGATTACTTATTTTAAGTCAAATGATATTATATATACAGAGACATACATGTTTGTAAATGATTGTGGCAGCCGATAAACCTCATTAAAAAAATAAATGAAATATAACTAGAGAATAGAAAATATGCTAATGATTTTTTAAAAAAATTACATACATCAAATGTCTTTTAGTTGCCTATTTTAACAAATATGAACAACTGGAAGAGGCCATCACTTGTCTTTGTAGTTCATGTAATATATACAGCAGTCCCTACATTTGTACAACAGTAGTTGGGATGAAATGAAATTTATTACCTCGATGCATGACACGCCGAGAATGCATATGTTCCAAGGCACTGCACAGCTGAACAAAGTATTTCCAAACTGTCCTTTCCGGGATCAGCCTCTTCTGCTTCTTAAAATGCTTTGAAATAATAAAATAATACTGCAATCTGGATTTGATATTCAGTAATGATGCAGAAGATTATTAAAATGAACAAGCTTTCAGTTTTTCAATCGAGAAATCATTAACACAACTGAGGAGGCAGGACCATGTTTAACAAAGAGAGAGATAGTTCCTCAGGGATGCACTTTGGATAAAAAGAACAAGTATTCACAAAAACAGCTTGGACCAAAGGAAAGGTCTGATACGTCAAGATGAGATTGGGAACTTATGTGTAATTTAAGATGAACTCTTACTTTCACAGGTGATCAGCCCTCATTTTGTTATGTCTATCTTCTCCTCGATTCTAATGAATCTAATTAGATATCAGATAATGGCTTAGAATAATATGAATGACACAGACTCACACAGTCTCCTCCTGCATTCTTCAGAACAACAGCATTTAAGAAATAAGTTGCTGTTTCAATTTTTAATTAGTCATAATTTAACATTGTTTCTGAAACTTAAATTGATTAATCTTAATAATCATTGGTTTAATTACATAACATCATAAAGCATGATTTACTCTACACTAAACACTATTTAAGTCTAGCCAGTGTTGCCCCAATTCTTTTTTGTTTTATATATATTTAAAATATATATTGCCCTTCCTCCAAGAAAGAAATGTTTCCTCCAGTATTTTCCTTCAACACTCCTGGAGGAACAACTTCAGCTGAAAGAAAAATGAAGTTCAATTTGTCCGTATACAAATACCAAAATGATTCTCATTAGATAATGTTTAAAGTGCACCTACTTTGATCACATGTATGTTCATTTACATACGTACAGAATACATATACACATATAAGGAAGTGAATGAAAGACTAAGTAGTGAAAGATCAACTTAACTCAAAAAAGTTAAACTATGAAATAGGGCTCTTTGGGAAGTCCGTCTGAAACTCAAACTAAAGAAGTTTTGCAATTCAGAATTCAGAAGTGCACAAAAGAGTATCTGAAAAATATTTTCCTCAATTTTTCCATTAGGAAAATGGCAATAGAGAAAAATCTGAAAGTAGAAGGATGGGACTGTCTGATCATAACTAAGTTTTACTAAGAACCTTCAATAACAGCATTTCAGCAAATATTATTCAGTGATTTATTCCAAAAACGTTTGTAAGAATCTATAAGAATCATGAGGATACTTGATTGCTTGAAAATGCTGGATGTTCATACCTTTTCATTGTTCTCCATCCATCATTTAAGCCATTTCCACTCGGCTTTCTATGACTTCAATATTTACTAAGAAGAGCAACAAAGAACCTTGAATTGTTTTTATTCATTGTAGTTTCCTTTTTCCTGCATCTGGTACAGGCCAGATCATGGTACATAAACAATCTAAGCATTTTGGCTACTCTTACATAACTAGTCGGTTTGGTCTAGTGGTTGAGGCACCAGGCTAGAAACTAGGAGATAATGAGTTCAGATCCCAACTTAGGTATGAAAGCCAGCCAGGTGACTTTAAGCTAGTCATTCTCTCTCAGCCCAATTTACCTCGTAGAACTGTTGTTGTGAGGAAAATAGGAAAAAGGAGTATTATGTATGTTTGTCCCTTTATTTATAAAAATAATAAACAAAAAAATCTAAAAATACACCCCCAAGGAGTTTTCACTCAGGCCCACCCATTTCTTTCTTAACCAATTAAATAAACCAGGCTTTGATCATAATCCAGATCTGAATAGAGGTTTAATGGTTTGATCAAATTAGTTTTGAAGGGAATCTTGTTAGTTTGGCTTGTGGCAAATGAAACATTTATTAGTGGATAAAAGAAATAGTAGTAGGGAGAAAGTTTCATGCAATAGAAAACAGGAAGGCAGAAGATTCAATCCTGTAACACCCCTCAATTGGCATTTGAGAGAGCAAGAGAATGATATTATGGCTGCACTTTCCTTAAGACAAGCAGCAGCATAAAATATTTAAAAGTATTTTATATTTATTTTAATATTATTTCCCTTTACAATTTTTAAAAGCTCAAATGAGGCAATTAAATGCCAGTTCCTTGAATGGTGCCATTGCTGAGACCTGGATTGAATCCAAACAAATTCTGTGAACTGTTGTCCCTATAGCTCAAATTTGCATATCAGAGAATTGTTTGATGTTGACAAGAAGACAGAGACCAGAATTCTTTTTATATACAAGTGAATACACAGCTTCAAGAATATGAATATAAAGCGTACTTCTTTGTTTTTAAAATTATCCCTGAAGATTTTAGATTGTACATCTAAATAAATTTCCCTAAAAACAACAACCCCTTACAAAATGCTTACCTATCTGGATATCTCATCCCTTGTTTACAGTATAATATGCACTTCTGCATTTGTATTTGTTTTCTGGATTCTGCTTTGTGTTTATTTGTGTTGGGATACTGCATGGAACACAATCACTGTTAACCACCATTCAGAATTGGGTATAGTAAATTCCCATTGTGGTAACTCTAGTCACACAGAAACACAACACCAGATATCCATTTGTTAACAAAATTTCTAAATCTTTATTTGCCTGACCTGAATGGAAAATGTTTTAAAAAGATTGGCATGGTTACTCCTTTAACCTGCTGTTGGATCAGGAGGCAAACTTAATTTGAGCCAAAGGAGGCAACAGCGTCTTACTTGAAAGCATGATGCTAACTTGGACATCGGTGCACACAAACTTAACATTTGTAGATAGTTTTCACTTAGCAATAATTTGTTCAGTAAATGTTTGACATGATGATGGCGTTGAATTAGGAGACTTACAAACAGTCCTTGAAGTTGTGCCTGTTGCAACATCCCCACAACTTGGGAGCTTGGCAACCAGTGCATATTTATGAAGTCGCAGTGTCCCATGGTCATGTGATTATCATTTGCAACATTCACTGCTAGCTTCTGATAGGCCAAATCAATGGGAAAGCTGGCAGGAAATTGCAAGCCATGGTCACATGACATTTTGCTTAATGACTACATGAAATTTGCTTAATGACAGGAACTGCCAGAAGTGACATCATAAATTGGCAAAGTCATGTGCTTTCTCGCTTTATGCCTGTGTTGCTTAGCAACAGAGTTTGCAGTCCCAATTACTATTGTTAACAGAGAACTATCTGTACTTCCATCTTTGTACTTGAGCGGTTACTAGTGATGCAGCTAAGAATAATTTAAAACAGACTGAGCAGGGACAATAAGAAAATCGATTTCACTGACTGCGACAATACAAAATTTAAATGACTATGTCATTTACAACAAACTAACCATCTCCCTTCATTTGTTTTAAAGATAAAATCAACTGCATCCAATTAAAACAAATAAACACAGAACACCACAACAGAAAAATCCAAAATCTGATCTCATAAAGGAGTATATAGAGTTTAGTAGAAGTTTTAGCAATGAAGGCATACTTCGTATGGTTTTATGTTTGATTCCTGGCATCACCAGACAGAGCATCATGGAAACAATATGCTTTTCTGATCCTATAAGAATACTCTTAAAAATCTCCAATGTTTCAATTTTTAGAAAGATTTTAAAAAATGATCAACCATAGCATGATGAACAGTGGAAATGACTGTTATTAGGAAAAGTAACATGATTTGGTAAAATATCTCCATTGTAATAGTAGAAGCTGGAAACTAAGTGGTCAGAGATTTGGGATAGATGGTGATCGATGACTGCCTGACCTAGCATATCATTAAAATGTAAAAAATGGTACCTTTGATTTAAGCTAAAAATTTTGGAAGAAGAAAGCAGCTTAATGGCACTTGACCATCAAGTACTGTAAACCATTCCTGCAAAAAGCAAGAATAACTCAAGTGAGTACACTCCATCTATCACAGGCTTTGAAACACAAACTGGAAAAAATCCAGGAACACTGTGAGTTATTTAAGGGGACTTCTCTAACTGATACCCTGCAGATGCATTGAGGTTTCCTATCTGGAGAATACCAGGTCACAGGATATTGATTAGCAAGACAAAGGAAATCTGGCAACCTAGAGAAGCCAATTTAAATGAAAATATGCTGAGAGTTCTAAAGAGGATAGTTATTTAAGAAAGGGGGAAATGTGGCATTTTTGCTATAAATTAAGTGGATTTTCTTGAGTTGAAACCCTGCAACATGTGCAGGGAAGGCAAGGGGGTCAAAATGGGAACAGTTTTGTTCAGAATGACGACAACAGTGCTGTGATTGCCATTTTCACCCTTTTGGTGGCAGGAAGATCATTATATTAAGAGCAGACAAAAGGGTTGGCAAATATTCCTTTTGTGGGTGCGATGCGGGCGGAACGCCGATGGCGATCCGTGATCATTCTGACTGCCTCCTATCTCAAATTGCAGTCGGATCTTGCCACTGAGAGCAATTTAGGGATTCTAGCAAAGCAGAGTTTTTGAAAACTATCCAAACCTCAAAGTTGTTCCTGCTCCCGCCAAGAAAAGCTGCCTATCGAACCAAAGGCTGGGGAATGCTAGCGAGGAGTGAGGGAGGAGTAAGAGCATCCTAACAATTAAGCCCAGCCTATCCGAGCAGAGACTAAGCACCTCCCTCACTCTCTTGATGCTCGGAGTAGCTCAATGGAGAAATAGTATATTATCTACTCTGCCCACAAATCTCTTTGAAAGAACAGCTATTTAAAATAAAACAAAACCTAAAAAGCTGGCCTAATAAAGACACAAAAATCAATATAAAACAATAATTAGAGATAGTTTCAGAACTCTTAGCAACAAGTACACAAGTAAACAATTCAAGGAGTTATTTTTATCTTCCTTAGGAAAATCATCATCATCTTGAGGTCTTGCGATCTAGTTTTATAGCTGTTTCATGCAATACAAGAAATATTATTTTAAAAAGATCAGAGTGAGTTTGGAGGGCTGTGGGGCTTGTATGGATTGTGATTTGAGGAGGATTGTGGAATTGTTTCCAGATGCAGAGGAGAATGTAAAGTTGAGGACAAGTGAGTTTACAGGTAGTCTTCGACTTATGCCCGCAATTGAGCCCAAAATTTATATTGCTAAATAAAACAGTCA